CCCTCTGACAATCTTAGAAAACCCAGATGGATTGGTGCTGGTTTGGAGCTTTTTGGCTGTTAGCAATTACTTTTTTTGGCTGTTGGCAATTACTAGAAAGACTCCTCATAAAATTAATCTAGTGTACATGGAGAGAAGTTAAGACAGTTACTGAGCTGTAAGCAATATCTGGGGTGACGATACTACCTGGCTGAAAATTTGCACATAACAGTTCTACAGAAGTTCCAAAAGTAAAGCTGCATACAAAAGCAATAAGCTTCAATTTGCTTTGCCTCAATATTTCAGTTGAAAAGTATACTCACTTGTAATAAATTACAGTAGGTAGATGATAGCCTATATTTTTGTGTCCACTTACTGTATTTCTGTCACAATAAGGAAATAACCTGTCAGGAGCTCAAATTCTTCTTGTCTGTACAGACATTGCCTAGATGTAAAAATCACGCCAACTTAACAAAACTGATTTAGTGTTTTGTCTGGACACAGAAACTGAACTAGCATGATTTCATATCAGAGTTGGCAGAACAGCGCATCTATTTTGGTTCAAATCAATGCAAGTTTCTCACATGTATACACTCGTTTCAGGTTAAGGGTGTTTGATTATCAATTTAGCTCAAGTTGTCCACACAGGGGAGTTGTATCAATTTAACTGAGTAAGTTTTTAAACCAATTTAGCTAATCAGTACAATTCTCTTGTACAGACAAGGCCCCAGAAATCAGGACAATACTCAGTTTAAAAAAGTGGGTAGTACTCTTACATGATTCGCATATAAATTTAAATCCCTGTTTCTGTTAATCCGATCAGTGACAATGGAAAACCATCCAGTGTAGTCTCTTTCAATTTACTGCACTAATTCATTTTAAACTATTATAACATGCAGGATTAAAACATACCTAAATTGAGCAACTGCATATTGCTGTAAATTCTTGTCCTGCTCTTCACTGTTTGTCATGGTGACTCACTTGTGTGACCAGGAGTGCATGGAAACTGTTGGCCTCCAATGAAACCAGCCTCAACCAGCTAAAAGGTGGAAAAGAAGGGTAAGGGGTGGGTGAGCCAAACAGCTATGATGAAGCATAAATGCTATCAGACAAACCACAAGTTTGTTTAAACTCTGAGAATTTTGGTTTTTAGACCCAAAAAGGGAATTTGAGTCTAAAAATCTAAAAAAGTTAGAAAACCTAAAGGAGAAAGGGTTTTTTTTGTTTGCTTGTTTGTTTTGATTCCTTTTAGTGAAGGATTTTTCATTCACTAAAATGAAAAGTGAATGAAAAATCCTTTGCAGCTTGTCAAAAATAATAAACATATACCCCTTGCCCTGTTAATCAATGCACTGATGTATGCATTACTGTATTCTGCACTGTTCCAGCTTGTAGCTAGTGTGACTCCTTAAAAGTGTCTCCACATATCTCAATCAAGTCTGCCCTAGAATAAAGTTTAAATTTATATACTATTGTTCAAATCTTGAAAACGATCAGTCCAAATATGCTTATTAATGCTATTCTTAAATACAGTTCACATCTGCTCAGACTGACAAAGGAACACTATGGCACACAACAGAAAAAATAGTGGGTGGGCCCATTCCTTGTTTTGACTTTTGCTTCCCCTACAGCAGAATTCCGCCCAGAGCAGAAATCTTCTAAAGCAAGACAGAGGTACCAATGAAACTGTACCATGGGTGACAAGGAAATCAGAGGCAGCAGTGATACCTGATAGCAGAAGTAATTTGTGACATAAAGTTGAAACTGAAAAAGTCCAAGATCACCATAAAAAAACCTGTGGCCCTTAGGGAGATATATATGTATAAAACAAGTTAAGTAGTTCCCATAGGTTCCCATTCCACAGTAGTTACCTGCGCTGAATTTTGTGGAACAGTCCTTGATATTGTGATATAAACCAGGGTAATCCAATTGGAGGCCTAGGGGCTACATGCAACTCTCTTAGGGTTAATTTGTATCTTCTGGGCTCCCACCTAGGCTTATGCCCCACCCCTCTCTACAGCTGTAGCAGCAGCAACTGAGGTCTTAATGCTTGTCCTCCCTTCTCTGGCTCTACTCCCTAACCCTGCCGCAGGGGCAATGTGGTGTGGCACACTGCAGACCACAGTCTGGAGCCCCTGTGTAGTGTATTGCGGCAGAGGACCCTATGACTGGGGAGCTGCGGTTAAGGCTGGGACACCCACGTGGCATGCAGCCCAGGGGGCCTGTGGCTTGCACTACTGCAGCCCATCAGCATGCAGCCCCATTGGTGCATCCAAGAGGGCCCATGGCCCCTGTCTGCTTAGAAATTGGACAACCCTAAAATAGCCTGTCCTTTCTTGGCAGGTAATCCTGATTTCATCTCAGTCTCCACAAATGTTGAAGCAGTGAGAGGGAGCTCAACTTCTCTCCTCCTTACAGGACTCTGTAACCTGAGAATAGATGCACTGAATGAGAAGATAAGAAGATCATCCTTATTTTAAACTAAAGTCTATGTACAAATTACTATATTTACTCTAAGATGACCCCTCCCCCCCCAATAATTAGATACTATACATGGAAAATTTATAAATTTGTTATAATTTTCCATGCATAAAATCTAATTTTTGGAGGGTCATCTTTACTTCATATCCCCCCTGCTAAAGTGAGGAAGTGTCAGAGATGACCAAGTCGCTTACCCCATCCGTTTGCCTGACCTGATTGCCCCCTCCCAGCCTCAAGCCCCACTTTTACCCTTGCCACTGCTCCCCCTCCTGTCCCTCCCCCAGTTTCTGCTCTCCCAGTCCCCCAGCGTCTGTTCTCTGCTTCCCTTGCGCCTTATCCTTACTTCACTTTGGCAGGCTCCACCCCGCTTCTAGTCTGGGGGACTGAGCACAGGCACATCCCATCCCTCATAGCAGCTATGTGGGCTGTACACCACTGATACAAGGCTGGACTGGGGTGGTGCTCAGTGCCCCGGCTGCAGTGTGCATGGAGCCTGCCAGTACACAGCAAGGTAAGTGGGTGGAGAGAAAAGGGGGATGAGGCAGGGGAACAGAGGCTGTGGAGGGAGACATGGGGGGATGAGTCTGTAGGGGGAGATGGTAGGGTGCAGAGGCAGTGCAGGAGCTGTGCCTTCCATTTAGCAGGAGCTGTGGCCTTGACCCCTGGTAGGACTGGAGCCTGAGCCACATCAGCTATCTGCCTTACCACCACACTTGTACTCAATTCTAAGATGAGCTTTTGCCCCATGATAGAATCAAATATACAGTATTTGTTTGCAAATATTCAAATGAGCTCATTTAGTCTACATAAAATTGTGTATTATAGGGAAAAGCACCCTAATTTTTTTTTTCCAGGAAAGCACCAACCCTTCCCATATCTCTTCGTAGTCTGACAACCACACCCTAGCCTTGCTCCTTCCTTCTCCTACTGTGGTTTCTTTCTGAATAAGCATGAAACTCTTAAACTAACAACTTTCGAGTAGATTAAGTTTTGCCTATAGGCCCAAAAGAAAATACAAATAAGACATTCTTATAATTAAACCCAAAATGGGTTATAAAGTTCTTAAAATTTTGATTCAGAAAGAACATTTTATTTCAGCATTTTTTAGTTCAAGGAAACATTGTGATATTCCTGAATCCAAGTTTTCATTTTGATTTGTTGAACTGATCCATGACAAACGGTTTCACTTAAGTTTGTAGTAGGGTTGGAGTGTTCTGGCAGTGTTAGCCCAGGAAATATACAAGAGACAATGGTTTTTTGGTGAGCTATTTTATTGGACCAACTACATAGTGCAGAGTTGTTAAGCAAGCTTTTGAGTACAAAGTCTCAGGGAGGCAGCTTCTTTCCCAGACAAGACACCACCAAAAAATATCTTTGCCTCATAAGTTTGACATTATACTGCATATGGGTGACTGTGGTGTTTCACTGCCTCACTGGAGGTTGAGGTACCTGATGCCTTCCATTTAGCTCTATAGCTGGGGCATTAAAGCTCCTTGTGGGCCAGTTTCTGATGCAGTGGAGCAAGCAGCAGCCATGAGGGAAAATGTGGCTGTAGCTTATCTCCCCAGCTGACACACATTGCCAGTGTGGGGCTCTTTACCCTAGATTTCAGTAGTGGGCCCCGTGCCTATTCACTTCTTCCAGGAATTCCCAGCCCCTCCAGGAGCCCCACAGGCCAGACAACACAACTTGGGACAGTACATTTGATATCCCAACTATACAGCGCTGTAGGTGCTGGCTAGACTAAAACCAAAGGCAGGGTAGATTTGCCCCTTGTAGACTAACCCGTGTGTGTGTGTGTGTGTGTGTGTGTGTGTGTGTGTGTGTGTGTGTGTGTGTGTGTGTGTGTGTGTGTGTGAGAGTGTGTGTGAGAGAGAGAGAGAGAGAGAGAGAGAGAGAGAGAGAAGTTTTTGTGAGCTGAAGTTCCCTTCACCAACTTCACCAGTTGTGAGGCAGAAGTATATACGCATCTGATACATATAACTACAGATACATGCACATACCCTGGTTAGTCCATAAGGTGCCCCTGCCTGCTCCTTGAGTTCAGACTAGCATGGCTGTGTCTAGACCAGGTGGGCCAGCTTGTCACAGAGCCACAACCCTCCACCTGCAGGGCCCCAGGGTGCCCCGCAGGCTATGTCCTGGCACTAGGGCTGGCACGCAGGGCCAGGCCTCAGCACACGGCCCCAGGCTGAGGCAGTGCAGGATCCCACAGAGCCTGAACCCCTGGCATGTGGGGCCAGGCAGAGGTGGCAAAGGGCTCCTAGGACCCATCCTGGCTCAAAGAGCCCGCTGGAGGCGACACGGGGCCTGGGGCGCAGATCCCCATCTGGCTGCGGACGGGCCCCGCACCACTCACGGGGCAGAAAGGCTGCTCTAAACCCA